AGAGGATCCAGCACCTGCTCAGTCTAAGAAGATGGAAGCTGTACAACAAGAGGGATCAAGGAAGCAACACTAGTTCAAGATTCAAAGCCTGGAAGCACCCTGAAGAGCTGCTGGTATGAGTCTGCTCTGGGAAGCTGAAGAAACTGGAGCTTCTAAACACTATACCAGACCACCTCTTTCTTCCTCTTTTATTCTACCTGGGCCACAAGCCCATTGGATGGTGCCAATTGCAATCAGGATGGGTCATCTCTGTCCAGTTTGTTGAACCACATACCAGTCACACCTGAAAACACCCCATGGGCATATACAGAATTGGGCTTTACTAATCTGCTAGATATTTCTTGAGTCAAGGGGGTATATCATTATTAACAGTCACCATCCATTCTTTCTCAGTTTCACAACTAGACATCACCTTAAATCATACTTAACCACAAATAAAGATAAGAGGAAGTTCATTATTCCACCTAATATAATACAGTAGCCTGCATAAAACCGGAAACACACTAATTTTCCTCCAGAATACATGCTTTCACTTCTTGTAACATTGCTTAAATTAAAATGTAGATTTAATGATATTTAAATGCTGATATTAAGCTAATCAATGTTATGTTACAAAGTGTAGTCATACAAAAGGAAAAAAAGTGAAGTTACATATATATATGTATATATACACATATATATACGTGTATATATACATATATATACACACATATATATACATATATATACATATATATATGTGTGTGTATATATATATACATATATATATACATATATATTGAGCTAGCATGCCACCAGGTTCTACTGGAAAGATAACCCAGGATAACTCATAACTTCATTTCTGATAGTTCTCATCCTGTCTGGGCTCGGTTTATCAATGACCTTGATAACATGCAATGGTAAAACTAGGAGATGCCCTAAGGTATCTTCTGCAATCCGAATATACTCCTCCTGACCTCCATTGTGGAGTATATTCATTTGCATAAGCACCATAACTCCCTGTCTAGCCTATTGACTCATATGCATGCAGAGCCTGAAATGACCAGGAGGCAGTCTCAGATTCCAGATCATTAGAATCAGTGTTTTCTTCCTCCCTTTTTGTAACTAACTTCTAGGTAAGCAGAGGATAAGAAACAGAAAGCAAAAGTTTTGCTAGTGGAACCCTAAGAGTAATGGTGAATGTACCCTTTTCATTTTCAAGCACTGATTTCTGGACCCATGTATCCTAGCTAGGAGAAAATAGTAGCTCATATATGAAATGCTGATATACACAACCTTCTGTGAAACTTTGCCCCAGCCCTGCAAGGTATTGCCATCTAGTGGCACTGTAATTGTATATTCAGAAGGCCATTTTACCATTTTATCAATTTGGATGGTAGGGAAGATGTTAAGACCAGTGGATTCCATGAGCATGAGCCCATTGCCATACTTCTTTGGACCTGAAGTTCATATCTTGATCAGAAGCTGTGCTATGTGGTATACTATGATGGTTATTGTGGCATTCTGTTAGTTCATGGATATTAGTTTAAGCAGAAACATTACATGCAGGAAAGGGAAGTCCATACCCGATTAAAGTGTCTATTCCGGTAAGGGAGAAGTGCTGCCTCTTCTATGGTGAAAGTAATCAAATATAATCAACCTGCCACAGGGTGCAAGGTGATCACTGGGGGGAATGATGCCATAGCAGTGTTTGTCTTTGCTGCTGATAGGCACTCAGCATGCACCATAGCCAGGTCAGCCTTCTTGAGTGGAAGTCAGTGTTGCCTAGCCCTTTCATAACCTCCATGTCTGTCACCATGACCATATTGTTGTGAGCCCATTGGTCAATGATAGGGTTGGCTGAGGAAAGAAGCTCACTGCTATCTACAGAATGAGTGTTCCTATGTACTTGATTATTAAAGTCCTCTTTTTCTGAGCTTACTTTCTAATGGGCATTTATATGGAATACAAATATCTTAACATCATTCACCCATAGGAAGAGGTCTATCCTCATAATTTTTCTTCAAACATCTTTGTCACCAATTTTCCAGTCATGTTTCTTCCAAGTAAGTGCCTGACCATCTAGCTGGATCATTGGATCACATGAATTGCTATACGGTCACACATCTATAAAGTGAAACACCTGGGCTTTTCTCTTCCAAGCAAGGTGTATGACCTGATACACTTCCCAGTGTTCTGCCCACTGTGAAGATTCCCTTCCCCTCTGTTCTTCAGTGATGTCCTGAAAGAGGCAGTATTGCTGTGGATGACTACTTTCAAATGAGGCCAGCATAATGTGTAGAACCGTGTGTAAATATTGTCCTAGTCTTCTCTCCTTCTGTCAACTGATAATAGGGTATACATTATGAGGCTATAGGTGCACATGGGGGAGAGGGAACAGAAGACAGTATAACATGACTAAGAACCATGACATTTTGGTCACTTCTCATGTATATACCACTTCTATTTAATGATGGGCTGTTGTTATGCACTTCTGACTTTAGGACTTATGCGTCAGGTAACAGCCAGTTTATGATAGGCAGCTTAGTTCACATAAGAATGTGGAGTTCCATGGTCAAGTGTCAATTTCCAGTAAGATCAAGTAGCAGGCAAGGAGCTGTTTCTCAAAAAAGAGTAGTTGTCTTCAGATGAAGTCAGAGACTTGCTCCAAAATCCCAAGTGCCTTTACTATGATTCATTCATGTGGGGCCACCAGGTGCTTTAAACTCCATCCCTATTTGCCACTGACAGCTCAAGTACCATTAGATCAGTTGGATTATATGGGTCAAAGTGGTAGAACAGCCTGGGACTCTTGCAGAGTCTTCTCTTCACTGAAATTTAGAAGTTTTCTGAGTCACTTGTAAATTGGCTAGAGTATCATGCCCAGGTGAGAAATGTATTGCCTTCAAAATGCAAATAGGCCCACCAGGCATTGTGCCTCATTCTTACTTATAGATGCCCAACAACTTCTTCTTCATCTAGAAGGATTATCTGTGCATGTCCCATACCACTAGACCAAAAATTTTAATGAGGTAGAGAACTTCGAATTTTTGTTTAATTTTTTTCTATCTTTTGACATGCAAATTCTATAACAAAAAGTCCACAGTGGTTGCTACATCTTGCTCCCTCGCTCCAATCAGCAAACTGTCAATAAAGGAATGGACAAGTGTGATACCCTATGGGAGAGAAAGATGGTCAAGGTCATTGCCAGGTAAATTGTGATACAAGGCTAGATATTTGATACACTTTGTGTTAGGACAATGAAGGTATATGGTTGGCCTTGCCAGTTAAAAGCAAATTGCCTCTTGTGAGTCTTATCATTAGGTATGGAATTTGGCAAATCAATAGCTGCATACCAGGAAAGAGGGGATGCGTTAATCTGGTTAAGCAGAAAAAAAGAAAGAAGGAAAAGAAAAACACATTTGGTATAATAACCACAATGAAGTCACCAATAGATTAAACCTGTAGTAATCTTCCATTATTCTCCAAGACCCATCCATCTTCTGCACATCCCAAATAAGAGTGTTAAATAATATTCAGTGGGATCCACCACTCACTCATCTTTCAAGTCCTTGATAAATGGCACTAATCTTGGCCCTCTCTCCAAGGATGCAATATTGTTTTAGATTTACTATTCTGCCAGAAAGAGGCAACTCTAATGGCTTTCATTTGGTATCTCCCATCATAATACACCTCATTTCACTGGTTAGGGATTCATTGTGGGGATTCTGACAAGTACTAAGTATATCTATCCCAATTATGCTTTCTGGACCTGGGGAAATGACCACAGGACAGATTCAAGAACCTTTAGGACCTATTGTGAACTGGACTTTGGCTAAAACTCTATTCATCCTCTCATTTCCTTAGACCCATATTTTTACTAGAAGGCCAAAATTATGTTTCAGATCTCCTGGTATCAGTGTCTATTAATCCCTAAAATGTCTATTTCTACATCTACAGCCTAGAAAGTAGCATTTTACTCTATTCAGTCTCTTACTTATTTCTGGGCCTTTCATTTGCAGATAGAAGTAGAAACTGCAAGCAGGTTCTCCATAACATGGATCACAAGTGATGCTCAATCTTCACATAATGTCTTTCTGATTTCTTTAAGGTGAAATGAATGAATTGCAACTGGCTCACCTAGCAGAGGAAGTTCCATAAGGAGGAGATCACATCCTGGTCATTGGCTCCAGGTCCAGCTTTGGCTTTAGGCCCTTAATCCAGACTATTTGGGCTCTGCCTCCCCAGCTTCCAGCTGCTGCTCCTTTCTGCCAGCTCCTCAGTGACTGCCTCCACCTTGAATTTTTGAAATGAAAATTTTATGTGATAAAGATGACTCCATGCTGTTGCTTAATCCTGGCACTCAGCTGTTAGTGTGAAAATTTCCAGATCCATGCATAGGATCAGGGACTGGCACTTCTGTACCATCGGGACTGGGTTGCAGCCTGGGGTGGGCTCCTGGTGCTGCAGTAACCAAGCAACCTGGACTGCGTGTGTCTTTCCAGCATCAAATATTGTGGCAGCTCAGGTGGCCTGGGCAAGCCTTGAGGACCACAGCAGTGCAGTTCTGCTGCTTCCCTGCCCTCAGTTGGCCCATCTTGGGAGTAGTTGGTGGCAGAGTCACCCTATGTCTAACTGGGCCTTTCAAATTCAGCTAGGCTTCAGCCACTGGGCGGTTGCAACCATGTTTTTGCACCCCAATTCACCTTCCCTAGAATCACATTGGGAGGATTTCCCAGTAAGGTTTGACTCAGTGGGTCAGCAAGCCCCGTTGACTGCAGATACAGATGCACTTGGTAAAGGAGCACAAGTGCTACCTGACTGGGAGCTGGGAATATTGTGGCCCAAACAGTGGCAATGCAAGAAGCCCTACCTGTCTCTGGAGAGGGCAGCACCCAGCAGCACTTGGCTGCTGAAGGAAAGGGTCTTATCCTTTCCTCCACCTTGCAGTTAAAAGACCTGAGATGTGACTCTTTATTAGAAGTTTATAAATCTTTATTTGCAAACTTTACATGACGGTAGTGAAAAAGACAACCCACACATTCTTCCTTCAGCTTCTAGGGCAGAAGACCAGAAAGACAACTTTTTTAGAGATTCACATGTGATCCCCTGCCTAGCTTTCACTCCTGGATAGGAAACACCACAATTTCATGAACTGGTTGGGACAGTCTGATTTCCATGGTACTTAACCTCAGGCACCTGGGTAGTAGCATCATCAACCATAACATCAGGCATCTGGGTACTCATGTCCTGTAGCTCAACTTCAGGCACCTGGATACTCATGTCCCGTAGCTCAACTTCAGGCACCTGGATACTCATATCCCGTAGCTCAACTTCAGGCATCTGGGTATTTGCATCAAGGCTTTGGACTGCAGCCAGCTCGGTCCTGCTTTTGGAGACACCCTCCTGGGAAGAGGTCATCTCAGAGCCTGGAAGAAGAGCAGTGTGCGTAGGTCACATCTGGGTCTTCAAACCCTCCCTAGGAAAGTATAAGGCAGCAAGCTCTCTGTAGGGTAAGATCCTAGGATACCAGAATGCAGGGTGGAGTCGGCCTTCAGGTTTCTTGCTGTGTGGACAGCCAGGAAACCCTCAGACCCCTCCTAAGAAGCCAGCATTTACTCTGGGTACCCTTCCCTTTTCTAGGCCAGTACCTCCCACTGGAAGCTGCCTGAAATGATCAGCCAGATTTCTGCTCATCTCAGATACATTCTCTTGTTAATAAGACCACCCAAATATCATGAGCTCAGACTCGCCTTCAGGATGCCATTGACACACGTGATGCAGGGTGTGGGTCACAGGTTTGACTTGTGGGATGTGCTCTCCATCAGGGCCTAAATAGGCAACAGGCAAAAGGTGAGGGTAGGAGCTCTCTGAGGTCTTGGAGGACAAGGTAGAGGTAGAGGAAGTAGGTTCATGAGGTGTTTGCCCTGAGAGGTGCCCAGACTGTGAGGAGTGTAGGTAGGGAGGGAAGATGAGGCAGCATCACCTCAACCACCAACAAATAGCACCTCCACCAGCCAAGCCTTCAGGGGAGCTGCTCTTCAAGTCACAAGTGGAACCATTTGGGCAGCTTGGTGAGGTTTCCTATGACCTTCAAGCATGTCTCCTCTCACTACTGTAGTTGCAAGAAGGTCTGGAACTTACCCGAAGTATCCAGGTGGCAGAAGCCTCAATGTGGGCACAGGGCCTCAGTGACAAGAATGCAGAGCTGGAGGTGACAGCAGGAGCTGCAACTCAAACTTCCCATTATATGGAAGGCTCACGGCTGAGTCCTACCCACTTGCACCTTTCTCATTGGCTCCCTGGCCCTGCCCACTCTTGCCCTTCTCATCCAATCCCTGGCCCCTGCCCTGGGAGGGAGTTCAAGGCCAATCTAAAATTACCTACACAGTGAGACCCTGTCTCATCCCCCCCCCCATAGTTTGAGACCAGCCTGGGTAGTTTAGCAACTTAGCGAGTCTGTCTTAAAATAAAAAAGAGTTTATAAAGTCCAGGTGACACAGCCAGGGGGAAAAAGGGGCCAGGGTTCAATCTCTAGTACAATAAATCAATAGTTTTAAAAGAAAAAATGAAGTTATAGGTGGGCATACTAGCATGCACCTGTAATACCAACATTCTGATAAGCTGAGACAAGAGGACTGTAAGTTCAAGGCCTGCCTGGGCAACTTAGTGACTTTGTCACTAAATAAAAAGTAAAAATATCTGAGGTTGTACCTGAGTGTTAATGATCTGGTTTCAATCACCAGTAATGGGGCTGAGGATTTAGCTCAGTGGCATTGCACCTGCCTCAAAAGCACAAGGTCCTGAGTTCAATCCCCAGTACCGGAAAAAAACAAAACACAATCCATTCAATCACGAGTAACCCCCCAAAAGATAAAGTTATTGCTCCAGGTTCGGTAGTTGGATTGTGATGCCCAGACTCAGTACAAAGAGAGCCAGAATTTAGATAGACTCCTCCTTGTATTCTCTGTGAGAGATCTGTAGGCTAAGAAAGTGTCCAAGAAACTGCAGGTGTCTAACAGTGTCAAAGGTCTTAAGACTTAAACAGAATATGAATAAATGGCAAAGAAAGGCAAAAATCCCTCTATGGAAGTTATAGAATGGAGTTATAAACTTTAGTGGGTAAGCACGACAAATAGGTGAGTATATAAAAAACAAGGACCTGGGCTCCATAACCTTCCCATCAAACACAACAACTGAAAATTCAAATTTCTGGTGCTATTTTTTCCATTAAGTTTATTATTAGTACATTTTAGGTATACAATACAGTTACATTCATCATTGGGATCTTATACCTGTACATGATGTAACTTGGTTCTTAGTTTTTCCCCATTCCTCTGCCCTCCTTTCACCCCCTCCACCCTTCCCTATTTACAAAGACTTTGTTTCCATTCTGGCACCATTTTTGATGCTAAAAAATCCAATCCAGAATTCCCATGAAAATCTCTAGTCTATTTTTTATACCAGAATAATGCAGTTATTTCTTAGTGGGCGAAAGAGGATACTTGCAGTTTTATGTATGTTATTGTGATATGAGGGTGCATGCATATGTGGATGGGTGCCTCTGTGTGTGTGTGTGTGTGTGTGTGTGTGTGTGTGTGTGTAGATCTTTCATTCCCTTGACATTTCAGAATTGGGTATAGAAACATTTAAGGGAAGTAGAACAATAGTATGACCAATTATGCTAAAATCCTAGCAAGGCTGTACATGGTGGTGCATGTCTGTAATCCCAGCATTGTAGCAGGGTAAATGAAGAGGATGGTAAATTCAATCTCAGCCTAGGGAATTTAGCATGTTAGCCAGATCCTGTCTCAAAATAAAGAAAATGAAAAGGTTTGGGGCTGTAGCTCAGTGTGAAGACACTGGGTTCAATTCTCAGTACAAAAAAGAAATTCTAGCTAATGCAAACTAACCTATAGTGATGGAAATGATAGAGCATTTGCTTGGGGATGGGAATGGAGGAAGAAATATAATGGAAGGAGGAGCTAGGAAGCTCTTGAGGATAATGGAAATAAACATTGTTTTGATTGTAGTAATGGTTTTACTGGTGTATCTATATAGGTTAACAGTGATGAAATTCACACATTTTAACATATGGAGTTTCTTGTACATCCAATATTCATTAATATGGTTATAGAATCCATGACTTGAATTTTTTTTCTTCAAAAATTCCTGCTTTGCTCCATTGTCCTCTAGCTTTCAGTAATGCTTTTGAGAATTTTTGGACCATTCTGATCTTAATATTTGGGAAGTGTTCTTGAATTACTTTATTATTCTCTCCCATCTGAAATCTCTTCCATCTTTCTAGAATTCCTTGTTATTAAGAAGTTGACTTTCTTGGTCTTCTTTTTGTTTTTGTTTTTTTGGTACTGGGGATCAAACTTGGGTCCTTGTGCTTGCGAGGCAGGCAGCAGAACCACTGAGCTAAATCCCTGGCCCAAAATATAACTATTGGTGATCCCAGCACTTGCCTTTAACATTGTTTTTTTTTTTTTTAGTACCGGGGATTGAATGCGGGTCCTTGTGCTTGTGCAGCAGGAGGCAAAACCACTGAGCTAAATCCCCAGCCCTTCTTGGTCTTCTTTTTCATCCTTTATTTTATTCCGTCTCCTGACCAGGAAGGCTTGGGAACTAAAAACTTACCTGGAGCTCTGAGCAAGTCTGTTCACCTCTCCTTAATCTTCTTTCAGGGAGATACTTCAAGAACTTCACTTGGGAGCCCCTGTGCAGTATCATTAGGTCTTTACCTAGTCATTCCTTTTTCAAGGCCATTCTTTGAGAAAGTAGGGGGTTGAATCCCATGGAGGAGGGTCACTCCCCTCATGATAGGAACTTGCTCTTTTCTGTCCGCTGGACACAATAGTTCTGGACATTTAAGCACATACCCCCTCACCCAGGTTACTACTGTCCACTTAGGAAGAAAACAGAACATCTTTCTCTGATGCTTTCCTTTCTGGACAGACAGGGGGGCTAAGAACAGGTGCTTCCAAAGTCAGCCCAACCTCCAGCAAGTGCCCAAGTCTGTAATTGGCTTGGAACCCGATTTCTGTAAATTTTTAAAGTAATCAGACTTTAATTACTTTTAAACTTTCTGCCTGATGTCCAATCCATGTAAATTACTGTCTATGTGATTAGTGTCTGTGAGGATTCTAAGGATTTTGTGGGGTTTAAATGGGTTAACGGTTAAACGTACTCCAAGTATAAAGTTCACTAGATGTGTATTTTTATTTTCAGAAAGATAAATGTGGAAGTTCTACAGTTAAGTGTGTGAACATAAGATGAATAATATGAGAAGGGAATATTTAATTCTCATGATTTCTTATGTAATATTATTTAAAAAAATTTTATTGGTACTTTTTAGGTATACAATATAATGACATTCATCATTCGAAATTTGCACCTTTACATAATCTCTCTTGTCTCTTATTTTTCCCCCTTTCCCTGCCCTCCCTTCAACCCTTCCAGCCCTCCCTATTTACAAAGACTTTGTTTCCAGTTTTTCATTTTCTCATATTAATTCCACTCCCTTCTTTCCTTTCCCCTACCCCTCCCACTTCCTCTTCCCCTTTGCCCCTTTTCTTCTTATTTGACATTATATATTATAACTTTTAGTCATTATTTACACTTTCAGTTTCTCATACTAGAGAAATTGTTTGGTATTTACACATGTGTGTCCTATTTATTTCACTTAAGAGTATCACCTCAATGTACATCCATTTAGCTATAAATATCTCTAATATTTCATTTTTTATGGCTGCATAGTACTCCATTTTTATAAAAAACCCCCACATTTTCTTTATCCAGTCTCCAGTTGATGGACATTTGGGATGTTTCCAAGTTTTAGCTATTACAAACTGTGCTGCTATGAACATGGGTGCACATATATCACTGTGGCATGA